GGGCAGTTGGAAGAGCGGGACACTGGAAGAAGTGGGACTCCTGGAAAGTCGGGGCATTTGGGAGGGAGGGATAACAGGAAGAGTGAGACCATTTAAGGTGTCAGACAATGGGAAGGCATGGCACTTATGAAAGGGTGGGACAGACGCCTGGAAGGAGCAGCCCTATGGGACCTGTGGGACACCTTAAAGGAGTGAGGCGGTTACAAGGGTGAGGTATTTGGAACCTGTGGCAGTCGGGAGGACTGGGAGCACATTCCCTCACCCCTGGGCCATCCTCCGGGGACCGCAACTGGCCGGGCCTCCCAGAGCGGTGGCAGAGCCCAGGCACAGTTTGCAGAGCCCCGGGCGCCTGGCAGCTGGGATCCTGGTTTAGGAAAGGAGGACTCACAGCTCAGGGACGACTCAGGAGGCAGCACAGACACCAGCAGCATGGACGGCGGGCGCCAGCGTGGCACGCACGCCACATGACCTGCGCCTGGCCCCTGTGATTCGGGGATGAAGGAGGATGTCGGTGCCCTGGGGGGTGCCTGCTGCAGTGAAAGGTCAAAGGCCACACGTGGGAACCTTGCTCTCCGGACTCCGCCAGGGAAGACGTCAGGCAGCAAATCTGGGCTGTTCCTGGCTCTTCCGTACCTCAGAGACTTTTCTAGACAAACATGAGAAAAGACTTGCTAGGACCTGGACTCTGGGAGGAACAGAGGACAAAAATGACCTTGTTTTCTTTCTCTTTGCACATCAATTGTAATGTCCCTGAAGGCAGGGTACTGGAAGGAAAGGTACCGTCTGAAACAGGACTTTTTTCCCTTCTGAGACATGCAGAAATCATTGAATTCACAAGGTCTCACGGAGCCTGACGCTGCTGGATGCGTTTGAGTCTCCTCTGCCGGGCACCGCGAGGCAGCTTCCTGACACAGCCATCCTCTGTGTGCCTGTGAACGAGGCCAGAGGGACGGCCTCACTCACACTCCCGCTTCTCCCTGCAGCACCGGTGCTCCCACGGTCCCACGCCGCCTGGGAAGCTGTGGCCAGCAGCTTCTGCTCTGCAGAGAGACAAACGCGTTTTTCCTGCAAGGACAAGCCCTGGACCGACCACCCTGAGGCACAGATGGAGAGAAGTGGTCCCTAAAGTGCCCTACGGGGGCTGGCGCTTCGAGCCGGGAGTGCCGATGAGGTCACAGCTTGGCTGCGCTCCACCCAGAGACCTCGTGGTTTCCTCTGCCTGCCAGGCCTGCCTGGAAGCCTGCAGGGAGGGTTGGGTTTCTCTTGCTGTCCACACCTGGGCAAGAGCTGAGCAGAGGGAAGGGGTCCTTCCTGACTGACTCCATTCCAGCCGGACGCCACGTGACTCGGAGGGGCTGGTGGACACTGAACCAGAGCCCCCGAGAGGCTCTGAGGACAGGAGCCCTGGGCGGCGGCCAGGGCAGAGCCAGGCCCAGGGTCAGAGCAGGCAAGATCGGCCGCTCGTCCGCCCCCGGCGGTGAGTAGTGCAGGTGGCTGGTTCAGGGTGGGTCTCTGGGGCTGGCCCAGGCGCTGGGCATTTTCTGGGCTCCTCTGCTGGCCAGACGGGGGCAGGGGTGGGGCAGGGCGGGGGCCACGGTGGGTGCTATCAACTGGGAACTCTCCAGTCTGCATCCACCGCCCTCTGACTGGCTGTGCCACCTGGTCTGCAGCCAGCCCTGGGCTGACGCTGGAAGAGGACGCTCACTTGGGTGACGGCTCCCCCATCTGGTAGCTCTGTCTCCCATCTGTCCCGCTTCCCCCATGCTCTAGAGTGTTCCACGCAGGTGCAGACTCTCCAGGGGGTCATGAGGACAGCCAGAGACAGGCCCTCTCCTCCCTGCCACACCGGGTGCTGATTCTGGACAGCCTCATGGCTTCTCAGTACTGACCGTCCAGGTGGGACGCACAGCCGCTCCTGGACCACCCAGGGACAGGGAACGCCGGGCCTTCGCCCTGTTCTCTCCCATGGCCCTTCCTGCCCCTCCTCACTCTCCTCCCCTCTTGCTCACCGAGGATGCAACCAACTCCTCTACCCCCCGCAGTCCTGTAACCCAACTGCGGGGACCCTTCCTACAGAGCTCTGCCTCCCTCCTGAGCCCCACAGGGAGACCTCCTCCAGGGCAGCAGCAGGGTCTGGCCGAGCTCCGAGGCTCTACCCCCACCTCCCCCGTTCTCCTCCCTGTTTCCTTCTCTGTCCCCTGTTTCTTCATGCCTCTCCCTTCCCTGCCATGCTCTCTCCCTGGGGCCCACCCGAGAGGCCCATGTCCTCCTCAGCCATGCCGGGGGTGAGACAGGAGAGGGACCACGCCCCTTGGGGGCCACAGGCTAGAGAAACCGCACCTGCTGCTTTGGGGCTGGAGCTTGCTGGGGCCTCAAGCTTTTGTGGGGTCTTAAGTCCACAGACTTCAGACCTCCCAAAACTCATCTCCTTCTCCCTCTTGGCCTGAGGGTTGGGAGCCCCCAGGCTGCCCTGAGTGGGAGAGCAGCCGTCCACCTCCCCACCCCTCCCTACCTGTCAAGGCAGTGATGCCCCATCAGCCCCACTCTCGGCATCCTCCTGATGATGCTGGCCCAGGTGGGGCTTCCCCCACCACCTCGCCTCCCGCCCAACACCTGCCTTCCCGGGGCCTTGGGTGCCAGGACGGGCACAGGGCCAGGAGGAAGAGCCCTTTATATCCAACCAGACTTGACCCTACCCACAGGAGATCCCAACTGGACCACGGGCAGGACTCAGCTTCCTGAGGTGCCGTGACTGGGGCCTCCTTTTCACTGAGCACCCCACCCTCTGTGTCCACCCCTGAGGCGGGGACAACCTCAGGGTATCATTTCATCCCAGTCAAATGAAGATCACAGAGCTGAGGCGTAAGCAGAGGGAGATGACCAGCACCTCACCAGGCGGCTAACACCTCTGTGCTCAGAGATAGCCCCGCCCCGGGTCACCTCTTCAGCATCCCGGCACCACGGCATCCCCCTGCGTGGCCTCGGGTCCTCCTGTCCCTGGAGGGAGACAGCGGGGTCTGAGCACAACCTTGAGGTGGGAAGAAGCTGCTAAGACCAGCCATGGGGGTTTCTGCTTGTAATCCCACCCTCCTTATCCCAGCTCCCAGCCCTCCCATGACACAGGAGGACCAGCCACCAACAAGCTGGGAGGGGCACCTGGTGTTGGCCTCTGACCTCAGTCAGCCTCTGGGGAAGGCAAGGCCCCATCCCATCTCCCTCAACCCCAAGAGGAGAAGCTGGGGTCACCAAACACTCAGGGACACATGATGGGCCAGGTAACCACAGGGGCAGCGTGAACCACAGGTAACCACAGGGGGCAGTGTGGGGCCACAGGTAACCACAGGGGGCAGTGTGAACCACAGGGGCAAGGTGTGAACCACAGGTAAGCACAGGGGCAGCCTGTGAACCACAGGGACAACCTGTGAACCACAGGTAACCACAGGGGGCAGTGTGAACCACAGCTAACCACAGGAGCAAGGTGTGAGCCACAGGTAACCACAGGGGGCAACCTGTGAACCACAGGTAACCACAGGCGCCAGTGTGAACCACAGGGGGCAGTGTGAACCACAGGTAACC